GACTATGTTTCGCTAACCTTACACCGCCGTTCCACGATAAAATGTGCAAAATTTATGTTTTTGATGTTTTGGTACTCTTGGATTCACATAGATGAGATATTGAGGTATCACAATATCTCATCTATGTGAAACAAAATCTATTCTTAGGTCAGGAAAAGTTGATACTAATCATAAGAAGTCCGAGGAAGCTGATAGGTATTAATTTTTAACGCACTCCCTTCCGCCCCCCTCCAAAAAAAAAAGGAATTATAAGAAAATTACAACTATTAGTTTTCTTGTATATTAAAAGACATGTGTCTTTTCTTTTTAACCTGGGTTTGTAGTGTATAATAAATAGTGCTGCCTAAGAGGAAGTAGTGTACAAACAGTCCCCTCCCAGGTTGGCGATTACTTGGGAAAAAAAAAAGTGAAAATTCAGGATGGAATATATTTTACAAATTTCGGATAATGTATATATACATTTATTTAACTTAGGGGACCCGCCCTGCCCCTCCCTATGGGCGCTCTTGTAACTTAGTGATTGAAATGTGTAAATCGGTACAAAACTAAAAAACTTCGACATAATAAAATTACTATTCTGTGGCTAGTAGACGTTTATATTATCACTAAATTTAACATTATTTATAATATATTAATTATTAAAATTGAGATTTTATACGTGTATATTTTTTTGTTCGTTGCCCGTTCCTCCGAATGTTGTTGTCTTATCACGTTCCTTGTTTATACTTTGTCATCATCACACGACGTTAATCTCCTTACAGTATACCCGGGTTCGTAAGTAATTTCATAATAATGTATATTCGAAATACATGTACGTACCAAGACCAGTACGGAAACATCACACGTAATTTTGCACAACATACACTTTGTCAACTCTGGTATAAGTATGCACCTCGCGCTCGTCTCTAAGATGTTATACGAAAACTCACTTCACAGACTACCGTGAAAATAATTGTTATTATATAGGTTGTGCTGATTCAAAACAGTTACTATTTTGGAAATGATAACCATTTCAGCGTCAAAAATAAAAGTCATATTATTACAAATCCCTTGTATGTTATATTATTTATTGTTAATAATTATTATGCTACATAAAATGAAAAAAAAATATTTAATCTAAACTATAACGGTTATGATAGAATAGTCTGTATATTATTAAAAGTCAAATAATTAATCTGAAATGAGCTTAACACGTTTATTTATTTTAGCAGTTAATTGAAAACCGCGATAACCAATAAGGTAAAGTAAACTGTTATCATTTTTGTAAAAAAACAAAAATTGACTTTAAATCAACACATAAAATCGAAAAACGCACAGTAAAATAATGTAACTTGATTAGTTTCTTAAATAATATTATTTTTTTTCTTAAAAAAAACATAAAATAAGACAAAAATATAATTGGAACATTTTTTAGGGGCAAAGTATTAATAAAATTAAAATTGACAAATCTTTGTGTTAAACCAAAAAGATAAAATATAAATCGAATAAACATCCGAAGTGTATTTGTATTTTTACCTTTTTTGTTTAAGATTATATTATGAGTTATGTGTTCGTATTTTTTATAATTAATTTCTAATCAAATAATTGATTGTGTTATATTGACCTAATGAAAGGTTGTAGTGTAATTCATTTTATAGTAGAATTAAAATAAAAATCCACTTTTAAAAAAATGTCACTTGTACCATTTTGATTTTTATCACTTTTATTAAAATAACTACAATGTGAATATTGAAATACAATTAAACATTTAGTACAAATAAAAGGGTTTTTCATATCAATAATACGGTTTTTGAGAATGATCTCAATTAAAAAGTTGTAAATTGCAATCCGCTGGGCTTAGAAAATTGTTAATAGGTAAATTTGTATTGTATAAAGTAAATTTTAATCGTATACATAGTTTTGTTTGTTGGTAACACGTCAGTTCTTGTAACGATAAACCATTACTAAATATATATATACCTACTTTTTCCAATAACGCTAGCGTCTTCAAACTTACAATAACTCTTACACTAAAAAATAGGAAATGTAACAAATAATATTTGGTTGTAAGAAAATAACACAAATAATTGTATGACCTTAATTGACATTAATAAACTTCAAGAAAAGAATAACAGCAGTTAATCTTTTTTTCAAACAATATTAGAAACATTGTTTTTTAATAAAAAATAATTGCTTTGTTAATACTATTATTACTTTTTTAGCCTCAATCAGAAAAGGTATTTGTTTTTAATCTTACCCGATTATGATACATTGCAAACACATTAAATTTATTATCTTGATATGTCTTTATAAAAGGAATAGGCTGAGTTACTGACAACGGTTACATTGAACTTCAAAGCAGAAAATCTATTTTTCTAAATAGAAAAAAAAATGTACTAATTTCCTATTCTTATAGTACTTACCAATTACCACGGATTTGGCCACATACAATTCCATACTATTGGCTGTACCCCCTCCCCCGTAAACATAGGTAATAATAGCGTGTATAAACGTGACGTGGTAAGAGCAAGTTATCCATTCACAACGCCTAGGTAGCTTATGAAACAAATTTTCAATTAGTTATTATTTATTATTATAATTATTGATCGAGGGACTCGTCAACACAAATAGTGCTATTATTCTTAATTGTATTTGTGTAGAGATATTATTGTACTCGAATGGATTTATTGCACAACACGAGTCACGACAACATAACGGACACATTAATAATAATTATTATTAATATGATGATATTTTGCTCTGGGATGATGCGTGCATCGATTCCCAACACTATGTCAAACCATTTGAACGGCTAGTCGATTAAAAATCACATCCCTATACAACGATTTGTTAGCATGTGAACTTGCCAACACCACAACGGCTATTGCATGCGATCGTTTTGTAAACAGTCTGTGCGATGTCACGGTGACGTGTGGCCAGAGAGAGAGAAACAATAATTATTTCCGATATAGTATATTTTATTATTTACCAGGAATGACTTTTGCCCATAATAACACACGTGGTGGTCGGCAGCTAAATAGTATACATCGTCCAAAATATTGTAATAACACCCCGCGATTGTGCAGCAGGGAACAAAAGCACCGGCAATTTAACAAGATTTATTTCAGTGAGGGTTCGGCGATAGACAAAAACTACACAGTAGGTACATTCTTCTCTCGGTATGTACTCAACAGCAGAAAGCTCACCCTATATAGATACGCGGATAACCCGTTGGCGGTCCTAAGCATGACTTATGACGTTCTCTATTACCGGTAAATATACGAACAAATATTTATTCTCCAAAGACTTAACCGTCCTGTTTATTCATGTCGGTTATTACTATAATGCGAACAAATAACAATAATACATATACCCGCCCAGCACGTAACCGGTTATATGTATATTGCATACTAATGACACTGCGAATTAACGCACTAATTAAAAAACATTAAGCCAGGCGAAAAAATAATTTTCCACGGAGCTGCTTACGGCTGTATGTTACACGCAGATGTTTGGGGTTATAAACATGAACCCAAAGCTAGCACAGCAGTAAACACCATCCCTCCACTTCTTTAAGTTAGTATTTTCCCACAACTGATATACTCTTAAATTAACCTAGAAATAAGATTTCATGATGGAAATCTATTTAAATATGTCTTATCAAAATAAATTGCTTTTATTTTGACATGCTTTATAATGAATAACTCTGTGCGGGCAAAATAAACATAGTTAAAACTCAAAAAAATTAGTACCTGCCTAGAATTTATTACCAGAGTGGTATCGTTAAGAGGACATAATACATCCAATCTTTTAGCGTTAAACATATCTACACAGAATGCGTTTTACTCACTCCGTGATGATTTTCGAACGAAAAAACATATAATGAAAACGAAAGATGACAAGATTTTGGAGACAGTCATATCCTTTTTTTGATAAACCTAATATTTAACATTTAAAGTAAAAATGCTTTTATTTTTCGATTTTATAGTAGGTGATTTTGCTCTAAAACCAATACGAATCAAGTAAAACGCATCCTGCGTAGCTTTGTTTAGACGAACAAATGGTTTTTAAATCGCTTTGAAGGATGCTGTGATAGTTAAAAAAGTAAATTAACTACCATAAAAATAATTCTGATTTTTGAATTCATGTAGTTAAAAACACATGAATAATAATAATTTTCTTATTACCTTTCACGGATCACTGTAAACCCACAAGTAAGGCTTATCAAAACCATAGCTTTTAGTAGATCAAGTACCAAAAACAGGAATAACCAGCATAAAAAGAACCAAGCACACTAAAAAAAGTTGAAAAATAGAATCATAACATTCCTAATATCAAAAAGTTTGAGTTAATTTGTGTATATAAAGCACCAATTAGGACGGTAATCTAATCTGTTAAGTTTAGCATCAGGTTCAACTTCTCGGAGTGTGCTTAGTGCTCATAATGTGTATGTCGTACAAAACTTATGTCGTTTTAAAAATTACCAATTTATTTGGGGTACATAAAAAATTCAATAGAATTTGTAAATTAAAAATTAACACGCAACTTTTTTTTATTCTTTGTCCTAGGGTAATTCTAATATAATTTTAATTTAAACTGAAATTTTAAGTTGAATTCTTTATTTAACTATATTTTTGAATATATTTAAGTACCCATTTTTATTAAATAGCCGGTGGCGCCCAAATATCGTTTATAGACAACTGCCATTATAATGTAAAACGAATAAATTATTTAAAATTGACAACAGTTTTTTATAATTTAAAGTTATTTCTTTAAATAATAATTTTATTAATTATTAATCAAAGTTGTCGATCGCTATTTGCTACTTATTAGTTATAACTATAAATTAACACCACGAGTCAACTTTTGTTTTTAATCTGTATTTAAATATCATTATAAAGCTGCATATGCAAACACATTAAATAAAAAATATAATTATTGATTTCATTTTGTTAAAAAAAAAAATAAAGATTTACAATTTTCATTCTTTTGGTAGAAAGTTTACAATAATTATGTAAAAAATATTCGTATAATATTTATCTAAATTAAGCAAGACTGGAATAGTGTGAAAGAAACAATATATAGAAATGATTGAGAAAAGTTATTTTAAGATTTTCATTACAAACACAGTAAAATAAAGAAATTAATGCATGGAATTGTCATAAAATTAATGGAATGTTCAGGTCGATATATCATACGATAATGTAATATAAATCATGATTAATAATTAGTAAAGTATATTTTTAAACCCAATTTCACACAGCAAACATTGTTTTACTTTTAAGTACAACCATCCAAAAAGAAATATTATGTAGCGATTAAAACTATTATTTTAAAGATTAAAAAATTGTAAATAAATAGGTATTATTGATTGTATATTTACACAGTGTAACATAGTGAAATATTATGTCAATAATAGAAAATATTAAGTATACATTATAAGAACACATAACTTAAATTTTACAGCAAAAATATTATTATACTTTTAAGTACAAGATTACGATCTATAAGAAAGAAAAATTATTAATTTAACACATAAATTGCACATTATTTCAAAATCACTAAAAAAAAACAAAGCTACCAAAAAACATTTAAGTACAAAAACGTAGAAAAATAGTGATAAGTACATATTGCTAATAATGAATATAAATTAAATAGGCTATTAATAAAACAATAATAGTAATATATTAAATGCATTTGTAAAGTATATCAATTTTAGTAAAAATTTCAATTATAATTATTTTTGGATGATTAGAAGCGTCTTCTTTATATTATACAAACGGCACAGTTTAAAAAAAATTGGTATTAGAGATCATATAATTAGTAAAATTTGGAATGTATGGTAACTAGAATAATAATAAATAGGTATATAAAAACGGCCGGACTGAACAAAGGTGATATGTGCTGTTTAAATGGACTTTTTAGTTGAACATTTTATTTTTTTTTTAAATCATAATATAAATAATATTATAACATATTATTTAAAAGATAAATGATTCTATTACTGTCCATAATTATAAATGCACATAACACAAAAAAAATTAATATAATTGCATTTTTTATACCCAACACCTTTATTATTTTTTTTTTTAACTTTACCATCTTCCCAGAACTTAAGAGTTTGTGCCAAATAATGAAACATTAAATTAAAAAAAAATAAAAATAACAGCATAATTAAAATGTTGGTTAGCTTTAAAGGAATGTCCAAATCAAGACCCTTTGGAGAATGGTGCAAGTTTTCATGTAAATTGAAAATAATAATGAATGGTTGTCATTGCAGCAGTTCAGTGACTAGTAATTCGTACTATAAATAACTTAAATCATTAAAAGTATACAGTTAAATAAAACTATTTTTTTTTAAAAGAATAAACAATACATATATTGTATATGTGTATAAAAACACACATTATAATGCGAATTACTGATAAAACAAGTAGTTAAATTGTGATATATAATATTATTAAATAAAATAATGTGTCAAACGTGAACAGCACAACTCCAAGCACCGAAGTTACAATAATAGTACCTACTGTCACATAACTAATAAAATAATATAGAAAAAATAAAATAAATAGTACCATGATTTTTGAACAACATCAAAAGCTCTTTTAAACATATAATCTCTGCTGATCATGATTTCTACATGAAAATCATTATATTACTCATGAAATTAAAAAAAACCTCACAAAAAAAAAAAAAAAACGCAACACCAAATAGTAGAAAGTGATTGTGAATACTAAAACATTATCAAGTGAAATTATTTTTTTTAAAGATTTTAATAAAATTATATAGGTAAAGTTTGATCGATTTTGCGTGGAACTATAATATCATCATCATACTACTACAAAACGTTGAGCACACGTGTCACATCAAAACACCTAAAGTGGAGACCATCACCTTTTTTTTTTTTTGCCTTTTTACATTACATAATATATACTGTATAGTATAGTATATGTAGTATAGTAATATGTATAGTATGTATAGTATAGTATAATAATAAACATATACTTAAAAATATTTGTACCAAAATTTAACTCTCCCGCATCCACAAGTGTAGTGTACGTTTCTAGACTTCAAATAATATATACTATGTAAATATTAACAATCCTGACGGATAACGTAGGTATTATTAAAACATCTTTGATCTTATAAAACGCCTCACTATAAATTCTTTACCCAAATCATAGTAGTTAATCTTGAAAGCCGCTATTTCCGGTCTTTTCCTGATGGTAACTAAGAAGTCAATGTCGCTCTCCAACACCACGACTACAATCATGAACACTAAAAACAACGTCAGCACGATTGGCAGTATGGTTGAACATATGAATGACATTGTCGGCGATCGGCTCCTTCTGACTGATTTGTTATCCACACGTTTTTGACCAGATATCTGATGGTTAGGCACTGTTTGAGATAATGATGGGGAGCAGTAGTCGGTTACCGTGGCCGGGTCTTCTGAAATAAAAAAAAAATACACAAAATCAAAATATGAGTTACCAGCATAAATATAATATGATTAATGACACAATATTCCTGTGAAACAAACAACCAAATGTTTTTTTTCTTATGTTATTAAAGAAATATGATTAAACCCAAAGCTGTGAGATATGTTGTACAATTTATAACAAAACGGATTAAATTGTGAAATCTAACAGTTAACGATTAATGATTATGGTTAGTTGATTAATTAATGTGATTTCTTTTGTAACCCAAAATGTTTAATCAAGTTAGTGGTCTGCACACATCTATGATTTCATTTAAACATTTTATACTATATAAACATATTTTAACTATACATAGAAGTATAATGTTTTTTTAAGTTTATAAATTTGCTTTTAAGATGATCAACTACCCTCGCCATAAGGTTTATTAAAACCAAAATAGTAGAAATTTTATTTATATTTGTGCAAGTATGGCAGTTCAGCACTCCAAGAAAATATTTAAGAGGTGCAACTGCCACATAGGCAAGTTTAAAATGTTTAGTCCCAATATTGAGTGCTTTAATAACTTCTTTGAAATGCATATCATGCCTTCGAGTGAGCTTTAGCTTTGATACTAGATAATATTACATATTATTAAAACTATAATAAGTGGCGGAGTAAACCAGTAAAGCAACTCTTCTGATATGGGCTGATAAGTTCGAACTACGACTATACGAGAAACAGTGTTGAAAATAATGATAAAAAGTAAGTTTATTTTTTAATAATTGTGATTATATTCAGTAATTTATCGTTTCATTAAATTCATTAAAATCAAACAAAGCCAAACTAACAACTCTGTTAGGATACCAAATGGTGTCTTATATACTTTTCGTTCAAGGTAGTCATGTTGTTCTTCATGAACACCCTTTCCCTCCCCTTAAGCTATAGATACATCAAATCAGCGATCAAAGTGTTAAAAATCATAAGTGACTAATTAAAAAGAGCTCGACGTTTCATATATTTCTATACAAAAAGGAGCTCATTTCTAACTTTATTTTGTCTCAACATCATTGATTCATCATATTTGCATAAACATTTTTAATTTAAAATTGGCAAGTCACTAATACACATATTTTAATAAGTGATAACATACAAATTATAACCAATATTGCATGATAATAACCATAAAAATGTATAATAACTCTGACCGCATAGTTAAAAATGTCATAAGTAGTTTACAATAATAAAAAGAAAGAAATTATAAAAATGAAGTTTCTACTTTATTTTTATATTCTTTTCTTTATTACATCAACCTTTTTTTTTTTTTTTTAATAATTAGCATTTAGTACTCTATAGGTTATTGTTTAAATTTTATCCTATGACGTGCACATAAAGAATTACCTGTAGGAATATATATTTTATATTGTATTTTAAAACAGCGCTATGCGTTTTATTATGTATAATTTATGTAAGATACAAACAAGCTATTGTATTTTGTATGTATTATGTAGAAAAATTAGAGAATGACTTTTTTGTGTGAGAAAATTGGTATGTATTTATTCATACATGGTCAAAATCAAGAAAAAAAATGCAGACATGCAACACTGAACACCAAATCACACACATAAAAAGCACAATAGCTAATAGAAGGGTTGGCTGGAGCAACGTTGCATGTATATTTTTTTTAATTTTGCAAGAGAACTTTAATTTAGTTTGTTTTGCTCCATAAACTGATAAAGGATTTAAGGCTGTTAAATTACATACTGCAACATCTATCGGTATCTTTGAAAAATAACTCTCACGTATTCAAATCCAGTTTGTCTCAAAGAACTTTATTAAACCAAAGAAAACCTTTCTCAAAAAAGTCACAAGCAACATTGCTCCATCCGCCCCTTTAATTAGCATATTTAATTAAAATACCAAGCGTTTTAAGCTTAAATAAAATTAATATTTATAAATAACAAAATCACTCATGTTAAACTCAAATAAAATCTCATAAAGACAACAGTATATTTGAATCGGTCATTTGAAAAACGCCTTAAGTCACAAAATCTAAATTTTACAGAATAAGGAAAAACTTCTTCCGCTAACAGAAAGCGTTGTGAAAATGCATATTCTTTTTAGTACCCTAAATCAAAGTAGTCTACATGATCGATAATGTTTATTTTATTTCATTAGTAAAAATTTAAATTACAACTGGCTAGGATGTTTCGTTAAGGAATTTCATTATTTTCAGATTTACAATAAGACATAAAGTTGTTTTTCTTGTGAACGGCAAATCCAAATCCATATTTAATATGGGAAAAATTCTGTGATAAGACACTCCATGTGTGTTTACACTTGTAGAATCAAAAACAATGATTTAGGCTAAAATGGTGACTTGTGGGATATCTCAAATAGCTGATTCATTTACAACTGCATTATTTGTTTTTTTCTTAATTAAGCAATTTGACAAATGTTCAGGGAAATATTCCAACCCTTCTGGGAAACCGGTTAATAATGATTGCTTGATTTTTGTCCATAAATAACTATTAGAACCAAACTCAAAATAAAAGATGTACCTAACTTAAAACCTGTAAACCCCATAACCTTTTGTTTTATTTCAAACCAATAACAAATATTTTATTTTAGTAATCTTTAATAATATATATTTTTTAAAGTAATATTATCCTAATAGAGCAGACTAACAATTTAAAAATATGAAAAAATATATAATACTATTTTAGGTATTATAATATTTAAATTTTGAAGCTTTATATGTTGTAGGTAATTGATATTATGATTGACATTTTCTTATTTTTCAAAAACCAGATAGTAAAGGTTATACAATTTCTGTACCTCAAAACCAGATGAATGTAAGTCACATTGTTTAAACTTTTCAGAGTGCCTAAAAACAAATTATCTAATATATTACACTCTTAACACCCTTGTAAATTATAAAAGGAGAATTTTTACCAACTTCCGATCGTATTGGCTTGATTTAATATCAGATTCTACATGCAAAACTGTAACAACCTAAAACTTTTCATTTTTGGACTTATAATTTTATATTAACTGAAAGAAGTTAAACTAATGTTTTTATTACAATAATTCACAAATTTTTGCCTAAGAAATTAACTTAAAATTATTTTACTTTTTGTACTAAATTTAATAAAAAAATTTAATACGGAATAATTTATACGCATATTTCGGCAACAATGTGACCATCATCAACGCTAACGACAGACTATTGTCGCTAGTCTGTTGTTAGCGCTGATGATCGTAACATTTCTGCTGAAATACTCATATACACTATGATACTAAGTGTATTATTTGTTGTGGTTAAGGTTTTTTTTTTTTAATATTTCGTTATATAATTTCTTTACTATATAAACCACAAGTGTTGATTAAGGGTTTTTCTAGAAACTAATATAGTACGTTAATTAACAAAATGTACGCATCTAAGCTAAATGTTACATTGCCTATTTATTGGTCAATACAAATTATTAAACTATATTATACTGCACAATACGTGTTTGATTAAATAAAATATTATGATCGAGCAAATGTGTTAATGAAATGTATAGGTAGATTTTTAGTTAAAATAATTTTTGGGTAATGTATTTATTTTGTCAATATTCACCAGCACATTATATAAGCTATGAAGTTAAATAAAATCGCATATTACATAAAACAGGAGAACAATGCTCAATACCAAAACATTATGTACTAAGCAATCATTGTGTTGTATGAGTCATCCAGGTTATAATGAATAAAAATATGATGGTGGATAGCAACCAAATACGTTCAATATACTCAACGCCAAGCACTTACCACTCTGTAAATGATTGTTCATTGTATCTTCATTAATGGCGTCTTGTTCAACTAAGAAATTATAATAATTTTCACTTTTTAATTCTAAATTCTTATAAAATAACATTTTCATTTAATAACTGTTATACTGTATTACAACATTAAAAAGCTGAAACCATTTTATTAGAACAGCAAACAAACCCTAGCATAAAAATTGAAGTCAAAAACTTACTTTTAGGTGTATTGGTTTCCTGGTCTTCTATCAATGTTTCCAAAACAGAATGGGAATTATCTAGAGAAAATGTATCTTTTGATGTATTGTATTCTTCATTAGAATTTGACAAAGAGCGAGGAAGACTATTAAATCCGGCTGAGAAAAAGGTTTTTATTTATATTATAACTAATAGATAAATTATAAATAAATATATAACAGATTCAAATTGTATATCTTTGAAACTGGGATGTGGAGCTGAGAAATTTTTTTTTATATAAAAAAATGTATATTTTTTCAACTCAAAATTTAGGCCAATAAAATGTAATATACAATGAGTTGAATGACTAAATTGAGTGGGATACTCTTTAGAAACAATACTACTGACAAATAATAACAAATTAATTATAGAACCCTTTCTCCTAAAAGAGTTGGAATCTTTTTTTTTTGTTTCATTTTTTAGGCTAGTTTCTGGACTAAGGTCTGACAATTAGTTTGAAGGTAGATCTAATGTGGCTAATATTAGACACAAATTATTTTTAAATTTGTTATTGAACTTTTTTTTGTGAAGGAAACTTGATAATGAAAACTATTAACACAATACATGTACAATAATTGTTATTATTAGATTTAGTATTGTCACCTGTTGGATATTTACTTATTGTGATTTTTGTTGATTTTTAAAAAAAATGTATTTGTACAAAATACTTTTTAAATTATTTCCAACCTAAAAGTTAAATAAAATACAAGTATTATTATTAAAAAATAAAAAATAAAAAATCTGTAATGACACTTTTTTTTTGAGGAAATCAAGTAACACAATTTTATTATGAATTGTGTATTATATTTTATTATGTATTGTATAATTTTATTGTTCAATAAATTATTTATATTTATATGGAATATAGTTTTCCACCAAACCTATTCCACCAATGATTTTATCACTTTCAGTTATAATAATACCTAAAGACCAGTGCCCTCTCTAACTCCACCATACTCACTACCTATATTGGCTCTTTTCAAAATTACTGTTAATAATATAAACAAGTACAAGGGAAGGATTCCTAAGTTTAAATAATTATTAGTAGCATTAAATATTGCATTTGATTACCTATAATAGTAGATGGTGTTGCGGGTTCGCTTGATGATTTCCGCCGTAGACTAGCAACTCGTGTTACAGACGGAGATTCACGTGTAATTGACATGTCTTCTAATATTTCACGTTCAACACGACCGCTATATCTGAATTTAGTGCCCCACGAAAAGAATCCTCCGCCAGATACTACATGAGGTACATCTGAACTTGAAGAAAATCTAAAACATGTAATACAACTTTTAATGCATTGTTATAGCCCAAAAACCTGTTACTAAATAAGTACAAATCTTAATCCCTGTCCCGACTTGAGTAACATAATTGTTACCTTTTTACTATTAAAATGGCAGTAAATTTAGAAGTTCACACAAACACCTTGTCAGCAATAATGTTACCAAAAATGACTTAAATTGTGTAACTAATTTAACTCGGTTAACAAAAAAGATAATGAACTTTGGTGGTCATTTTGATAAGTCGTTTTCACATGTACAGTAAAAAAGCAACATACTTATTCTAATTTTGAAAAATTTAATTTGTTCTATTTTTTTAATTAACATAATTAATACTTCGAAATTGATTATAATTACTTACGTAAAGAAAAGCATCTGTTCAATAGCACATTTCCATACATGACGACACGAAGAGCCTTTAGGACATTTAAACCCGACAGTTTGCTTTTTCTAAAACAAATAAATACATTGTTAATAACAATATTTTTAATTTTACACGATTAAAATGTAATTTAAATAAATTATATAATCTAAATATTTTACGTATTAAATACGTTTTAGATAAAGGCTACTTTTATTATTATATTATAATGAATAATAATAAGACTTCAATTAAAACTATAACTTAACATAAAACAAAAGTTATTGGAAGTATTATTCTACTGCCGATTGACAATAATAAGGTTACCATCACCTATATTTATTTTTTAGTTATATTTAAAAAAAAAAGTGAACATATTTACCAAATTTTATGATGTGAAATTTACAAAACTATTTTACATTAATATTTATGTACAAGAGTGAAGTATGTAAAATCATTAAACAAATTCTACCTTGAGTGATAACATTGATTGTAGCATTGAAGTAAATGTGCATAAATGTATATTTTCAGTTTAATAATTCACAAGTAGGTAGTTAATTTATTATTTAGTAATATATACAATTTTTTTTTTTTTAATCAATATACATAACAAAATTAAATACATTTTGTCATACACAAAGCAAATAAAACTATCAAATATTAAGTACTAAAATTATTAAATTATCTATACAAAATATTTGCTTAAGTATCATAAAAAATATAGTCTACATTAGAATATATACATAAAAATATATATTATTAACTACCTTTATTCTCTGATCCTAAGAAGCATGTAAACAAAATAAATTATTACAATAAAAAAAAAAAATAACAAATTTGTGCTACTATTTACAAATATTAAAGTACTGTTTGTTATAACTAATCAACTATAATTAATAATTACCTCATTAAGGATTACATGTATGATAAACATTTTACCCTCGTAGTTGATCTTTTGCACTTGTGACCAACTAAAATGATTTATTTTCTTACTACCTTGAAACGTAAGAATGCCAGTATGATTAATGCCCAAGTACAGTTGATTTCCTCTTTGGTCCTACACATAGTTTTTGTTATTAAAATATTAAAGTTTTGGTCGGCAAAAATAAAAATTACTTTGACAGCGTGTGGATCTACTCCATAAGTATCTAAAACGCATGCTTTTTTCAAAAACATGGTCTCTACTTCAGCCACAGTTTTCCCATTCAGTTCATTTTTGTGAATTTCCATCATTTTTTCTTCCAACTGCTGAGTTTGTTTTAATAATATCTTTAACTCAGTCACATAGTTATCTATGTGCTCATCTGGATTAAAGTCCCCCAGCTCAGCTACAAAAATTCAAGTAAATTACATTAAAAATACATTAATGTTTAAATTAATAACAAGAGTTGTGCTTTATTTGATTGCTAGGTCAAAATCAAACCTTATAATCACTCAACCTTGATACAGCTGTAACATGTTTTCTATAAATAACATATATGCATAACCAGATTACCTGTTATTTATTAGGTTTTGAATAAAATTATTTGTAACTTATTCAACATAATAAATATAAATTTTATAAAAAAAATTGCTCGAAAAATTATTTACTATTTATTATTAAATTAAAATTGTTCCCAACAATAAATTTAGTAATACCTTGTAATATATATGCTCCTAATAATGCAGCTTCAGCAGTATTGCAATAAAGACGACCATGCAATAAATCTCTTTTTAATTGAAGATAAATTTGGTAGCGGGTTATATCTTCTTTTAGTCGGAACGGATTGGGAGGATAAAACTTCACACGAAAACTAAACAAAATATTATCTGCTTCTACATCTAAAACAATATCAAAAAGAATGTATTGATAAAATTAAATAAATTCTTATATAAATCAATGTTATGTCAGTAAAAATAACTGCATACCTCGCATTTGTTTTATGATTGATTTAGATGGTTCAAGCCAATGCTATAAACAAAAAAAATACATTTTAGTTATCTTAGCCAATAAATATTATAAGTAATTTTTTATTATATACCCTTTGGCGTTTGTTGTCGACATAGCGTAAACCAAAATAATCTTTCTCTATCAGATCTAATTCTTCACAAACTCGTGTAATCAATGTGCTGCCTTTTTCATGACACTGCAAAACAAATTAAGATAATGTAATTTATTATGACCAGAAATTTCATTCTAAAATCATTTATTGTTTAAGGAAATAACACATTTGTACCTCAACATAAATATATAAATATTATAATAATATGTGTGTTAGTATACAATAATTAACATCAGCATTTATGTGGTCAGCATTTATGTTATGTTTACTTCGAGTCCAAATGTCAAACATTATCTTAAAATTTAAAAAAAGAATGAATGAACTAATTAATAACTATTATAAGCTTGATTAAATGATTTCAAGTATAAAAATAAATATGTAGCAATTCCTATTATTTTTCTTTTATAGCCATTTACTTAATCTGCATATTTTTCTCCATTTTTATTAATTTCCAAGCTCAAATCGCAAGTTAAATTAGTTGTTTGGTAAAAAACTATTAATTTTTATCTTAAATAATATTTTATTATACTAGTATTGGGACGGAAATTATTCCATGAGCAACAATTTAATTCATTTCTAGAAGATCACATTAAAAGAGGATACCACACAACTGTAATTTTAAGTGTAAGAACTAGCTACCTAACTAATTTTATTAAATAAAAATATTATTTACTTTAAGACAATAATTAATGTACTTTAATTTGTTATGATGTTTACTGATTATAGTAGAACAATTAGCTGGTCCTATAATTAAAATGTTTGTACATTAGTTTTTCCTACTCAAATTAAATATGACAGAAGACAACTATAATAATTTAAAATATGAAAGAAATATATATATTACATAAACTTGAACTAATTGACTAAACATGTACATCATGCATGTGTTATTTTAAAGATATTTAAGAAAATGACAACACATTCCCTCTGTTGGTTAGCCATTAAACACAAATACAGTGTCAACGTGTATAGGTCTAGTTTTTAATTATATTTAATTAAGAAGTGTGTAGCTTCTCTAAATTGTTTTAGATAAATATCCTAACTGTGATCAGTATAAAAGTTATTTCAGGTAAAACAGATTATGTCAACAGGAAAATTTGTCAAAAAAGATAAAACATCTGAAACACCCAAACTAAAATAAAACAATTGGACTAAAATTCCTTCTGCATTTTATCAGTGTTATTGTTAAAATAGTACTGAAGGACTTAACCAGATAAAACTAAACAATATGCCATAAAATAAGTTTTAACAATTTAGTTAATGGTCATACCTGAAATTCCAAATCTAACAATTGGGTGTCTTCCAACAAACGAACAGTGCATTTGATAGATGTGGTTACAGAATTTTTACTGCTGAACTTCATCATGTTATGATTTTCAGTTTTCAAATACTCAAAAGTCAATGTTAACGCACAAAAATTTGCGTTTTTCTTGAAAGTAATGTTATTGACCTCGAAACACGCACGAGATTTCGCCTACTGAAACTACCACTACCGAGACAATTGGCCGAACATTGAAACAACGTTCCAAAAATCCTTCGAATGTACCCTAATGAACAACAAGTACACACGAACAACGAAACAAACCGTATGAAACTATGAAGTATGATACCTAATAACGAGGCACACAGAATCCAATTTGCTTAACGAGATTACACGAAACCCGTCTTATCTCCAATACTCCTACTTCTTGTTTATATTTTGTTTTGACTTTTTTCCACCACTCTTCTACTGTTTACAATGTGATCCATGGAATTGTTCGAGTCGAATACAGTTGATGATTTCGTTTCACGATACGAGAATATTCCATTGAAATTAACAAATGCGTTTTGCGACAAAATAATGTAAATTGCGACGCTACACAATAAAAAAACTAATTTCGGCGTCCATTTTAATTGTTTACCATGTCTTTTGTTCGTGAAAAGTCGAAAATCTGACCGATACAACGTGCTGTTGTGGTCACACTGTTCGCCAGTAAGGTCGTTTGGGGAAGAAGGTGGAGCATAAAGCGGCGGTGATAATTGATAACAAGTCTCCGGGTATTTGGCGGCGGCCTGGATTTTATTATCACACGCAGCCCAAAGTAGTGTCATTTGTGTGTTGACCGGCTGCCAGTTGTGAGATGGCTGCTCCTGCGTCCAGTGTCGTCGTCTTAGACAGAGGAAATAACACAACTTGCACCATTAATTTACATGGTAATTTTATTACTCATTACATATCGTAAATTTAATATTGCTGTGACTACTTGTGATTGTGATCGACGCGTCCTTGAGTAGTCGTTACATTACTTATTACATTAATAATGTAATAGTTTATATTATTAAGGTCATTCACTTTCTTTTTTTTTCGCAGGTGCTACTGTGGTCTCATGGAGAGTCAACAATCAAGAGCAGTTATTCGTCAGGTAAATTATTATTAAAAAATAATAACAGATTTACGTAAAACTGCTTTCATTCAAGCTTGCTAAATCACTCTGTGTCCTTCGTCAATACATTATCTCTGAACCTGTATCTAGTAGAATTTTTAAACTAACAAAGTCTATTTAATTTTCGTGAAAATAAAAAATATATTAAATTCCTTATAATCCCGTTGAGAGATTATGATATCTATTTTAATTTTCGCTTTCAGGCCTTAAGGATAATCTATGACATAGGTACTATACTACTATACCTACTATTTACAGACAACACGATACCTATATTAATTTACAATTTAAGTAAATTATTATAAAACGAAATAATGGTCGGATTTTTATTGTCATCAAATGTTATTTTTAATTAAGTTTTTACTTTTTAAATAATACATGGTTGAGCATCCCTTAGGTACAACCCTACTTACCTTTATTGTAGTTTATGGATTTTTTAATGTAGCCGCTTATTAAAAAAACTATTTTTTCCAAATTAGTTTTAAATTTAAAATAAAATAAACACAGATGTTACATATCTGAATAATTTTCGTCATCTTTGATTTTAATGACAGACGATACCACATCTAAGCAATAAACGTATTATTTCGTTACATAATTGATTTAATTAATATAACATTATGTGTATTTAAACGAGATTTTTGGTCGTACTGCTTATTGCGAGAGAATTTATTTTACAAATTATTGCACGCGTAAAATATTAATTTAAAAAAAATGTTTAATAGATATTGTAGTAAAGATCATAGAAAAGTAAATGCATTTTACATTTACCTAGTATAGGGTGAATTAAAAAATTAAAATTGTAGTGTAATAATTATTATACCTACTTTTTTGTCAAATTTACAAATTTAACTAAACTCATCATCTAGTCATCAACCTAAAAATAGTTATAAGTTTATAGATTTTAAAATGTTACCGCGATTCTAATTTTTTGTTATTTACAAATTGTATTGAAATGGTTTAAAAAAGGTGTTCTTACTTATTTTTCAACGTTCAAAAGTTTTTTTGCAGAAAATAGCGCAATTTGAGGTACATGCATTTACTACAGCATTATAGCCTATTTTTCTTCTTAAATTCAAGACGTTTTTTAAATTATTAGTGAAATAAAACGTGTACCTAAAATATATATTTACATATTTTAAGTACAATTGAAGAGTAATATTATGAAAATTAATAGAATTGTGAAGGAAAAGCAATATCATTTGTAATAATAAGAGTATATGGCCCGGCCACCTCTCAAACTTGTTCATATTATATATTCCCAAAAGAAAAAAAAATCAACGTAACTAATATTTATTTACATAACTATCATAAAAAAATAGTTATACATTTTTAACCTTCAGAAATATATAGTGGGTCTTAGCAATTATCTATATCCCTATAAAAAAAGTTTTGTGTACTTGATAATAAGAATTAGTTAAACTATATTTTAGAGTTCCGTGCAACTTGTAAGACAGTACTAAAATTTTTGTTTTTTGGACGAGTCAAAAATTTTAAAATTGATTTTAGTAAAAAAAAAAATTTACATTTTTATGAATGGCATTTATGTTATCCATATATATTATATACAGGTATTTTACACTTGTATATACCATGTAAAATGTATTTACAATACTTCCTGATACATACTTTAACCCTAATTTGATTTAAAAACGTAAATTTTGAATATAATAATCGTTAGTATATTATGTGAACTTGTTAAAATACTATTTAATTGCCTATTAATTTTAAAATATATATCAAGGTAACTTATATCATTATGTATTCCGTCGAACTGGTTTTAGTTTTACAAACGCGCAGGTTTTCCTTATAAATAATGTATGGACATTTTTTTTTACACTTAGTAATGCACCTATTGTAAAAATATAAAATTTGGATATTTTCTTCTAGAATATTTTAATGCATAACGGTCATCCCTCCTTAATACATTAAAGTTTATGACCAGGTGGGGGTGAATTTATCGATTATTTCGCAAACCGCGTTAATCGAACCTGATATTCCACGGGAATTTAAGTTTGACGCCTACTTAATTCATTGTCACTTATATAGAAAAATATTACATAGAACATTGTGTTTTCACTTCGATCGATGGCTAACTATTGTAGAAATGTCACGTAATTATGTCTAACCTTTGTCCTTTTGTCTAAATAATGAAACATGTGAAATATATTTAATAGCTTTTCAACGCGAATCAAAAACTCTTGTTTTTCACCTTCTCCTTTTTCTCGTTCGCCTTGTCCAATTTAAATAAGGGTCGAACAGTCTAATTTTTTCTCTTTATATCTCTTTACTCTCTGTCACTATTTTTCTATTAACATCAAATAAGGCCATGTATTTTATAATATTACCCATTTTCCATTCTGTCTACACCTCTAAGTTTTTCTAAGATAAAATTTGAAATTTTAAGTCTAGCCAAAACAATTATTGTAGACGTTTCTCTACTTCATTTTCCTACTGTAAAAAATATTTCGTTTTCTAAAACTAAAACGTGTAAACACTTGTTTGTATCAAAAAAAAAACTGACAAAAATGTCATATAATATATTATGTAACATTATTTTGTAGTACCCTTATTTCGTGTATCCCAAATTGACCGTACACCATTTTGACGTAACACGAATTATAAAATTTATCCTTTTTTTAACAACCGGCCCTTTAGTCATTTTTATGAGGTATCCGCCATAAAACAAATTTTTGTAAACGATTTGTATTAAGGTACTTTTGTTATTATTGTATGGTTTATATGTGAATCATAAATACCAATTTGTGTTTTTTAATACATATAGTTGTATACAAATCGTTGGCTTACAAGTGAAATACATTAAGTCAATAATCAAGATATGACTTTACGAGTTTCTTCAGTCTAAAGATTACCACATTTAGCTTACAAGGATATACATTAAGACAATAACTAAGATATGACTTAACGGGTTTCATCAATCTAAAGATTACAACATTTTAGACTACTAGAAAAATTAAAACTACAAAATCTTGACTTCATGTATTTCACTTGTAAGCCAACGAAATGATATATTCACAAAATCAAAATATATGTATTATAAATTAAATGTTTAGACTCTAAAAATGAATTCTAGTTTTATAAAACTAAAATGCTATGTAAATTCGAAATGATTATATTTTAAAACTACAATCATTATAACATATTAGTATATATCTTTTAAAACTACTCTATTCAGTATTTACTGACTAAATTGAACAAGATATTTTATATTCAAGGCCGAGCGTGTTCCTTTCTGACCCTCGGTAAAGCAATAAAATGAGTCAAAAGCCTAACTATATAGACCGTGAAATTTGTCCATTACATTTGTAACGTCGCCTACCATAAATAAAACTAACCTTTTTTTTCTTGTAAATAACAGTAATAAAACATGTACAAAGAGTTTTCATTTTAAACTAGTGCAGACATTTAGTCAACCATTCAAAGTGACTACTTATTCTGGAAACACTTAACATTATTTAAAACACATAGCGTATTAAAAAAAGACATATTTTACCCGAATCAAAGTCCAAAAGAGCAAAAATTGGTAATACCAAAATACCACCGAAAAGTCAGCTAATATAAGAGTTATCGTTTGTTAGTGGTACAGCCCAAATGAGCATAGTTATGTGATTCTATTAAGTATGGTTAACTAAATAACGTGTATCTCTTTGCGCAAAAGATGTCATTGTAATTATGTGCATTCCCGCGAACCTAGCCCCTAAACTCTGACGCCATAGTTTTAACGAATTTAAACCTAGTCATCACAGTAGGACAAGTTTTGATAAGCGTGATGGTGGTTCCAGAGTAAATAGGAGGAATAGGGACATTAGGCCTAATATTATTCTAAAAAAATAATTATGAATCTCTATCAACTAACAAATACATTTTAAAATGTTAATTCGTTTTATTTTATAAAAGTTAAAACTATATAGTTATAGTTGTTTCAATCGAATGTAACTACAAACGTTGTAAGTTAAGTATTTCTTGTCCTATGTTTCTTAAATATTAGAGTAAATAATGTGTAAGGGTTAATAAGGGGTATCTTGATTAATATAGTTCTCTGGAAAGCATACACTGTAGCTACAGGTTTCATTTAAAATTTAAATCAAAGAGAAAAACATCTATATTTATAGAACAATTGTATAAAGAGGGCGTCGTATCGGTGATTTTCAGATGATAAAAACATGTTTAAGCAGACTGAAAATAACTCGCTTAATTTTGGTTTTAAAGTAAAAGCGCCCATTATAAAATTAATAGAGAACAATATTCCGGAGGGCAAGACGGTGCGTTTTTAAAAAAAAAATCATTTTTTGAAAAGTTACAGTCATTTAAAAATGTTAAAATAGTCGATATTTCTAAACTGTGTATTGAGCGTTAAACTTGGAATAATGAAAAAACGCACCGTCTTGCCCTCCGGAATATTGTTTTCTTTTAATTTTATAATGGGTGTCACTCTAAAACCAAAATTAAGCGAGTTATTTTCAGTCTGCTTAAACATATAGAGATAAAAAAAACATTTTTAAATCGATTTCAAGGATGCTTTGATAGTCCAAAAAAAAATTAACTACCAAAATAGAGTCTTAGTTATCGAACTAATAATTACACATCACAGTTTAACCTTTAAATTGAGATTTTGTAGAAAATTGCCTATACTTTACTCCTTAAAAATGGGCAGTGCGACGCCCTCTTAAGTAAATTTCCCATGTCAATATTGACAAAATCGATCTAAATAGGTCATTAAATCAAAAATCGTATAGGATTTAAATCATAAACTTTGGTTACCAATAACTAAAACAATAATATGTTGAGAGTTTTTTAAGACAATTTTAAATTAAATTTGTGCAGCTGTCAGATAAAGGGTTCTGTTGTTTTTTTAACCCCCTTAGGGTGTGGCTGCCTGGTAATGACTGATGAAGCATTTATCCTGCGTAAGAACCCTCTCGCTCTGGCCAAGTCATTGTCGTCCAACATCTTTTGAC